AGATGTTAAATTTTTCATGGGTTTATTTAAAAATCAAAGACCATCTCCTTTGGAAAGTTTTCTTTCTAGGTGCTCCTAAGTGGTGTAGAGGTGATGAAAATAGATTTCTTTGCAAGGGCTTGAGCACTTCTCAAAGGGTGCTGTGCTGTCGTAATCCTTGAATTAACCTTGTTGAAGAAAATAAGCATAATCAAGCTTAGTCTTTTAGAGTAAGACTTTTCACACAGCATATCATAAGCAAAAAGAAAGTAAGCTGTTCTCCCTTGCTTCAGGGCTGCTTGCATAGTTGGGATACTGGAAGTTAATTCCAAGATTTCTCCCAGTGTTCTCGAAGCACTAACCTCAACTGTCCTCTCTTTTGTTGACTGCTGTATGCCACCATTCCTTCCAGGCATTCCCATTCATGTTGGCTTTTCCATAAATAAGTCTTGCAGCAAGTTTAATGTAGTGAATTTTCTTCAAGGTTTTCTGTCAGTGGCTGCCTCTGTTCGGATCGTTTCCATCATCTGTTTTACATTGCTGTGCAAACTGCATAAAGGCACTGCTCCTCCACCTGACTTGTGATCATCTGAACTTCTCAAGATAAGGCTTCTCCAGCAGAGCATGCCTCATCAAGGACATGTTAGCAGAACTGTTTGTGCTCTTGGCATCTGTCATCTTTGCCTTTCACACTCTAGTAGAAAAATGTGTTTCTGATCCAACAGTGGCATGCTGTATTCTGTCCTTTCTGTAGAGAACCACGTTGGTAATGTAGTTTGTTATCTACCTCAGATATGTGTTGAATTGTGAGAGTAGTTTGAAGCTCTAAAAGAGTGGACATACAAATTATCATTAACAGTAATGCTTGCATTGTAAGATGTGTTTAGAATCTCAATTAATCTAGCAGTTGCTTACAGCCTGGGTCTTGGGCTGGTCAGAAAGCTCCAGTGCTGCCCAGAAGGTTGTACCAGAGAGCAGGAGCAAGATGCAAGCGTTCTGGATGCTCTGAACTGACAATGCTAAGGTATAGCAGTCTGCTGTGCAGCCTGTGTCTGTAAGGCTGTACTGTAGTGTACAGGAGAAATGAGGACAGGTGGGTGTGATGGGGTTCTGGAGGAACATCTTCATTTCCACTGAAAAGAGAGAACAGCCAAATCACTCACCTAATAAACTAATGTGTATGTGTCTGCATTTAGGTGAGAAGAAGCTGATGCAGAATCAGTGCATCTGGGCGTAGCTGTTCCTACAGGAGTAAATTTGGAGTTCTTCCTTATGACAGTTTTTTGGCTAACTTCTTCCTGCTGTTTTTTTTTGTGTCTTGATATGCCTTAAATCCATTTCAAAAGTCAGTGGAATTCAGCTTTATTCTAAATGGTGTTACGTGCTCAAGAGGGCTTTTGTGAAATAAAATTTAGTGTAGGAAAAGAGAATGGTAGAAGTCAACCAGGGCAACAGTGGCAAATGTGATGGGAAAAAGAAACAGTGATATCTTTTTTTCTTTTAGAAGAGCAGGAGAGGAGAGCATCGCAGAGGAACGTGGAAGAGAAGCAGAACAGGAAGGAATGATGCTTGAGTTAGGAAGAAACTTTGAGGAGTAAAGCAGATTGCATGATTGCTTATCTCTCATTAAGGACTGAGATAATGAAGTAGACAAGCTCTCCAGCTTTCACCCCCAGTTATTGTTGGCACTGAACAATTAGGAGAAGGCAAAGACTGACAGTACCTGATGGTAGTTGAGATGATTCACCAGTGTGGGCCTATTAACATATCAGCCATGGTGTGAAGGAGGGCTGATGATCCCCGCTGTGTTTATCAGCAAGCAGAAGGTGCTACGTGTGAACATTGTCCTCGTTTACATGCAGTGCCATCCTGTTGGCTTCTGATTTGGGCGTAGATCACAATGAAAAGCAGATGACTTCAGTTTTAAACGTGTGAGGGATTGCTCCTGGGTTGTATGGCTTCTCCCACCCCGGGTTGTTGTCATGTTTCTCAGTGGTAGCTTAAGGATTCACCTTCCCTGAAAGACGTGGTGATAGCACTCAGTTAATGAGATCCCTTCTGGGTTAAGTGGAGTCGCAGCAATTGCGTGCTGTGCAGAATGTTGTCATCCAAGTGAGCTGTGCTTTTGAAAGAAGAGGCCAAAATATTGAAGTATGTGCTTGTAATCTGGGCTGTGCTGTCTTCGTTGTGAGATGCTGGAGTGCGATGTTTGGTTTGGGAGAATTGCTTGCTGTGCATTGCAGCAGAAATAGGTGATGTTGTGTGGACAGGTCTGGTTTTGGAGCTTTTTGCATCTGTGTAACTTTATGAGCTTCAGTTTTCCTTCGCTGCCATATGCTGTGAGGAATGGGAGTTCTCCAATCTTTGATGAAGGTGTAGCTTAGCCAAAATCTCATTGGTTGTAGTGACTTAACCAGAGTGGGAAAGTTCAGCGAGGGTTCAATGGAAGAATTTCTTTGTTGTTAAAAGACAAGCCTTTGTTGTGGATTCCTCGCTTTGCTTTCTGTGTGGTGTGTGTGCATTTCTTCATTTGCAGAACCATGCGTGGTGTGGCTCTGGGGCAGCGCATCGTTCCCAGTGCAGGAGGAGCTGCACGGCGAGCATCTCCCAATGCTCTGCACAGGTTCACAGCTGTGATCCTTCAGGGAGAACACACCGTAACGTCCTGGTGTTTGACACCAGCTCGCAGCGCCTTGGTGCTCTGGTTGTGGGAGCCGTTGGTCAGCAGAGGCTTTGTTTGGAGCCGGCCCATGAATATTCAGAAATCCTAGGAATCTCAGAGAAATCTGGGGGCAGAAAGGGACCATCCGAGTCTGCGTGTCCCAGTGGATCGTTCAGTTCTAGAAAGGGAGAAATGAAATGCCAGCAGCAGGTGCCTATCTCAGATTGTAGGAAGCTTCCCCTTAAGAAGGATACAAAGAAACTGTACTTCTTGAACGGGAAGATGGGACCCCTGAGAAACAGAGCCCTGCCTGCCTTTGTCCTTTCACATGTATAGGTGTTTGGATTTTTTTTAATGCATCCCAACATCCATCTCATTACTTTTAGACTAAAACCATAGAAGTTATTAAAACCAACCTTTCACAGTGCTGAGAAACCCACCTAACTCAATCCCCCCCCCCCGGCGCTCCATCTCCCCAAGGCGCACTCAAAGCCCACACGGTGCTGCCCAGGCTGTGCGCTCTGCCCCTTGGGCTGCTGCCTGGGCCGGCTGGGGGGGCCCTGCAGCTCCCAGCTCCATGTATGGCTCGCTGACCCCGCCGGCTTCTCTTCCTGCTGCCAATCTGTTCCTGCAGGTACCTACGGCAGGCCGGCTCTTTGTTACCTTCCGCTCTTCCTTCCCCAGGTGCTCGAAGGTACGGATGGCTGAAGCCGGCTGCAGTTGGGCTCCAGCAGCTCTGCTGCTGGTTTAAAGCTCCTGCTGTGAGGTTTGCACGGCTGGCAGCTCGGCATCCCTGCCGCTGTTACGTGGGAAAGGTCAGGGGATGCTTCCTGGGCTGCCAGCACCTGGTTCCTGAATGGCGGCGAGGATTGGAGTGGCTTGGAAAAAAAAAAACCCTCCATCTTCCTTAGCAGAATGCTGAAGCGAGGGGGTGTGCTGTGGTGTGTAGGTGCAGGGAAGCTGTGCAGACAAATTGAGGGATCTCTGCCTATTTTTAGTTGCAGTTTTCTTAACATCTGCTTCCTTCCCACAGTTCGCTGCTTGGTGATGCGGTACAACCTAGGATCAGACTTCAGAAGGCTTGCTGTGTGCGTTAAGTTGCTCTGGGGCTTGGGGTTAAAGACATAATTTTGCATACAAAGCCAGGGTGCAGCCACAAGCTGCTTCTCTCTCCTTATCACGCACTAAAAAGCCACTGATTCTTTGATCTGTGCATACTCTGCCAACCTGGGATGCTGTTAAAGTATGGCCCAGGTTCTTAGTTATTTCAGATGAGCCCATTGTATGGAATGGTAAGCAGTGTCCTGCCACCCGCTCAGAGCAGTGGAGGCACTAATCCTAACACCAGCATACCATTAAGGAGATGCAGTGACATAACTAGTGGATGGTGTTTGTTTTTCTATTTTTTAATATATTTATAAAAGCAGCGCTTTGGTTGTAAAGAATAGTTAAAACACATTGCTTTCAGGAATGCCTAATTGTTTTGTCATTATTTCTTGTGTTATTTATTGCCACCTCACCAGGCAGAGCGCTGCTTTCTGCACAATGCTGGCTAATGAGGCAGAGTCACTAAGGAGGATATATTTTAAAACATTTAATTTTACTCCCATCACGCTCCAACAATTCTGCACCAGCTCTTAGGGAATGCTCACTGCCTTAGAAGCACTAAGTGTCATTAAGACAGAACAGAACACTCAACTGAAGTGATCAAGTGAAGGTGTTTCAAGGTGTGATTGTGCTGAGTTTTGCTTTTGAAACTGGAAGTGAGTTTTGAGGGCTCTGCTGGGAGTTTTGGAGCCCGGGGTTTTATATTTCCATTCTGGATCCTTTTTGTCCTGCACTTCTCTGGGGCTCACGCTGCAATATCGAGGTGCCTCTTCGTGGGACTGTACGAAACAACCACAGGAAACACCTTCTGAAAATCAGTTCCATGTTTCCCTTTGAAGTTCTTTTGCCCCCTTTTTATCACCGAATCTTCAAAAACTGTTAGGAGAAGAAATAAAAAGCATTACAGCGAATGGCAGCTGGGAGAACAGCCTGTGCTAATTCAGGAAAAAAAGTGTATGAGCCCATTTTGGGGCATCGTTTTGTTAGGGAATACGTATGTGTACACGTGTGTATTTATGTGTCTTTATGCATATGCAGATACGTGTGTGCCCATACACACAAGCATGCCACCACTTGCTCTGGTTGCTGCTCCTTGGATGTACAGCATGTGAGAGATCTGATGCTGTCCACCATCCAGGGCCGTGTGCTGCCTCAGCTCAGGCTGCTGCTGTTACCAGGAGTGGGAATTCTGTTTTACAAACACGTCTCGTGTGAACTTGTGACCATAAACACAAATCATCCCCTGCATCACAAACTGTATTAAAGAAAGATGATTTCATAGGATAGCTCTATGGCTGACTTCCTAATAAATTATTTTGAACTTGCTGAAGATGCTCGTGGCAGTGCCTAATGTGCACTTGCAGATGTCGCCGTCGTGCTGAGCTGTCCCTTGTCATTTCTTTGAATGGAAGAGTGAATTACACATGTCCAGAAGCTGGGATATTTTCCTACGTGTACATTGGATCTCAAAAGAGTCAAGAAGCTGCTTTGATAGAAATTTGCTTCGGGGAGAGGATGGTCATTGCTCCATCTCAGCTAAATGAGTAGAGTTCAGTGCAGTTAGTTAGTATCCCTTTGCTATCAAATCCCGTTATTGGACGACCTGTCAGAAAGAACAGCATAGAAATGGAGGTGCTGAGGAAGGAGAGATGAGTTAAACAGATCTCTGTTATCTTTTAGGCAGAGGTGAGGAGTGCTGCCCAGAGTTGGCCATTGGAAAGCAAGCTTTGTTTCTCCATGGTGCACACACTGTACTTCAGACACACTGTTAACTTCATCATCTGTCAGAAAATGCTCCATGAGAACAGGTTGTGTGCAGCACTCAGAATCATCCTCTGGTTCTTTGTCCATTGTGCTCCTCTGACTCTCGTTATCTCATTATTAGGAATGTTGACATTCCCTTCTCCACCTTCTCAAGCTAGCAGGGCTAATTCTGAATTTGTTGTGTAATTCTTTTCTGTATGCTTCTGAACTTGTGGTAATTGTGACTTCTCAGCAATGTAAGATTTTTACATAGAACTCTGCGTGGGGCAAGAAAGGAAGGAGGAGGAGCTGTGATTCTTCATGTTGGTTTGGCTTTTGATTGGATGCGTTTTAGAAAAATACTTCCAGGTTGACCAAGATAATGATGCAGTGCTTTCCTTTTTACAGTTTGAAGATAAATCTGATGCAGTATTTGATATTACAGAAAAATGTAAGTATATTTCTTTATTTCTGTAAGACATAGCCCAACAAAGCAGTTCTTAGAAGTACCACTGCTGACAAAAAAGCTACCTTTGCCCTTCTCCTAACCCCTGCTGCTTGTTCCCTCCCCACACTACTTTCTGCACAAGCAATACAAATGATAGGAATTAAAGTCCTTACTTTCTTGTTGTTTTTTCTCAGATCAGCTTCTGTTTCACTGTGTGGTGAGTGGGACAGAACTGTTTCTTTGTCAGCAGTATTTGATCAGTAATGTTGGTCCAAGAAGGCTTAAAGGGTTCAAGGAATTGCAACATTACACGGATTAGCAAAGGACCCTTTTACTCACTTTTGTTACACGCAGAGCTGGGAGATGCTCTGACTGTTCACAATTTTCTTTTCCCTAGGTAGTGAAATCCTGGATGCAGAAATGTCTGAGGATGCTGTGCACAACTTACCAGCCACCCTCGACAGCGTTTCTTATGAAATACAGAATCGAGCAGGATCTGAAAACTCCCTGCTGGATGATGACGACGACGATGATTATTTTCTGAACTCTGGGGATTTGGCAAGCATACCTGTTGTTGGGAGCGACAACGAAGATGATCAGAGTTTCACTCCAAAAGACACTCTCCCTGCTGAAGACCATCTGGAAGAGGGCAAGAGGGTTACAGAACACGAGCTGGACAGTGAAAAAGATATTCAGATCGAAAATGCAATCCAGAAGGATCTCACTTCACCTTTTGAGCAGGGTCCTGTATTTAAATCAATTCAAAAAGATTTTAGCATCACAAGAGATAATGGCAAAGAGACTTTTTCAACAAAAGACAAGAATAGAGAAGTAAATCTTCAAGACCATGAAAAACGGTTGGAAAAAATCCCTAAAGATACGGATTCTAGATTGAAAAGCAGTTTTCTTGACAAAGCAGGTAACTGTTGACATCGTAGACCTGGCTGCCCAGCAAGGAGGAAGAGCTAGATGGAAATTAGCAATAGGAATAGCTAAAGGCATCATCTCGACGAAGATAACGTGCATTGCTGTGTGGAGGGAAACATTTTATCCAGAACCCCGAAATACAGCAAACTGTGTTAGGAGTAGGATGTGCAAAAGGGCCTGGCAGCATTAGGGGGTGTCTCATCAACCACAGCCTGTTCTGAAGCCTCTTCATATCCTTTGTTGGTGTGGTTTGGTAAACCGAACTGGGTGACACCTTGAGCTTCCTTTGGTTTTGTCATCCAGCCCCCAAAGCTCCTTTAAGGAATAGATGATGACGTTTTGGCTTTCGCTGGCTGGAAAGATTTTTTTGAGCAAAGTGCCAATTCTTCATTATTGCTCGTGCTTAAAGCAGCATGTTTTTCATAGTAACATCACAGGAAGGCTTGCTAGAAATATTAGTGCCTGCAGGAAGTCAGCCAGGGAGTAACTTGAGATCTGCTTTTCCTAGGAGGCTGCTCTCCTTTTTCTTCTGATACTTGCATCTTGGACTTTGTCCAGCAGCATGGAGAGAACCAAAGATGCCTGTAATGCATTTCTCATGTGAGGGAGCTTGAAAGTCACCAGCAGTCTTGCTGCCCACACACCTGGTTTTGATTTCCCACACTCTGAAAATTACAGTAAAACAGTGAATGAGAGTGTTAAGAATAACCAGGGTGGAATGTGCAATTTAATTTCATTCTGAAGATTGTACAGAGTGAGGGCTGGCCAACAAGTGAGAGCCTCTGACTGCTTGTCGAGACTCACAGCTTACATTTCTGATGTTTAAACTTTGTGCATACAGTAACAGCATCTTAAAATCAGTGCTTTCAGGTTCTACAAATGGTAGAGAAACAATACCAATATTTTTTTTTATATCTTTTAGTATCTTTTTACTCTTGCCTTCAGCTAGAAATCTAGTAAAGAATATTTCTGTGCGAAAGGCTTATTTCAGAAGATGGTAAATATCTACAAAGTTGTAGCTGAAAGCTGTGCAGCCTCAGGTGGGGTAGCCAGTAATTGACCAGCTTTAGTGGATGCTGATGGGCAGCATCGAATAACCAGGCAAATCCAGTATTTTTTAAAAGATATATTGCTGAAAACCTGCCATTTCCTGAGAAAAGGGGAAAGGCAAAAGACAAACAATGAGAAAGGTGAAAGTTGTTTCTCTGAAAATTACTCTCTGATTTAATAGTAGAAACGTGGCAGAATTAGGAACTCAACGGGATATAGAAAGTTCAGAATGAACAATTCTGCCTCAGAATTATCGGACTGTTTTGCTGGCATAAGAAAATAGTGGCTCAGAAGGCTAATAAAAATATCAATTCTCTTTAAGGATTACCATCTTATTTACAGGGGAGTATTTTAATGCTTCTGAAGTGCTGCCAGACTCTGGGGTTGGGGATCAGAATGAGACTAGATAGTTCTTAAGGAAATGCATTGGAATCTGTATTCATTTCTATTTAATGTATATGTTTTCCTCAGTTCATAATCAAGTAGAAGAAACATTACGGACGCAGTTAGCGCCACAAACTCCAGAAACTAACTTCAGGGTAAGCTATAGATCTTTCAAACACTTTTGCAAGTGCAGCAATATGCTGGAATAATTCAAAATACTTATGTTATATTTGAGTGTAAATTTGAGTATCAAGCAAACTGATCTTCTGACTCATAGACGTCTTTGCTACTTAAACAATCTGCATATAATTTTGTACAAATTTTGCTGACCCTCTCTTTGAATTGAGGATTCTCTTGATAGCCACTCTCATGTCCAGCATGGTCTGACTTTGACGGGTGAGTTGATTCCAGACCTGGACGCATCCATCTGACCTGTTGCCTTTTTTCCAAATGAAACAGGGAACAGCTCTATGAACAGGAGACACTGCCCAACCAACCAAGTGCCCTCACTGACAACCATCTTAGAGAGCTGGGTGGCTTCTGCTTTGTCCAGAGGAGTGAAGAGGATTGGGGGTGGGATGGCAGAGGGTGCTGCAGGGAGGTAGAGGCAGCGGCTGCTGCCCTTCGTTTCTCCCACCTTCCAGTGGCAGGACCCATTTCTTTTGGTCTGCAACAGAAACTCCCCTTGGCATCAGCCCAACTCCTCTTGGCAGATGCAGGAGGGTGAATTCTTTTTCATATTATTGTTTCAGGAGTCTAGCTACCTATTTTCTAGTAAGGAATCTATTGGACAAGAGCTGGGGAATTCCTTTGCACCAAATATTAGAATTAAGGAGGAGCCTTTGGATGACGAATATGATAAAGCTATGGCCCCACAGCAGGGACTATTAGACAAAATTAAAGATGAACCTGATAATTCTGAGGTAAGTTTCCCATTGCATTTCTCATTTTGGTCTGACAACTGACCGCATAAGCTGGACATAAGTTCAGCATTTCATTTGGTTTGTTGACCGAAATTTAACTTGAAGAACGTAGTTTAGTAGAAGAATTTCTCCCTCTAATTCTACCATGGAACCCAAACCCTCAACTTTTTGATATCATGTTTCCATGTCGCTGAGTTTTTATGCTTTTCAGCTAGAGACGAGGCAAACTGCTGTACAACTTGCATTATTAAATCTGTGGCAATATGGGCACTTCATCTCCACTAGATCTCACTAGAAAATAAGTCATGTCTCATTGAGTATTTTGTGGATTGTCACAGTTAGAGCTGCACAGTTCAAGCAGTGCTGTTCCTGCTGCTTCCCTCTTTTAAGGTTGGCGGTTTGAGCACAGTGCTTCCTTGTTTTGTTTTTATAAACATTTCCAGTTAGAGGTCTTAGCTGACAAAGAACATTTAAATACATACAGCCCAGTGAGGTCAAGTGGCTTTGTCGTTTCAAGCTGACATCTTGTGTGATGTTACAGTTAAGAGTTCAATAATTGCAAAATGGAGAAAGCCAGAACTGTTGGATTGAACAATGCCAGCACAAGGATTGCTGAGCCCTCCCCTCTCTGTTTGCCACTGGCTTGCAGTGTTACACCAAGGAGATGATCCATGTTGCAATTCTTGTCTCTTCAGTGCTGATATTTGGGTTGTGTACCCAACTTTACACGCACTGAAGGTGCACAAAACTTCCAAGGCGACTCATCCCACTTGCGCTGGCAGTAGTTTTGGTGTTCTAGCTCAGGCATTCGGTTTTCCAGTCTCATTCTGTGTACTTTTGCTATACCTCATCTTATTTCTGGGCCCTTCTTTTCAGCATTTTTTCTTCTCTTCCCACCGTACTGTTGGGTAAATGAAACAAAAAAAGTTCACTGAGTATTTGAAACTGTTAAGATTTCACTGCCCTTCTGATTTGTCCTGTTCTTGGAGATTAATATCTAACCATGTGTAGATTAGTTCAACCTGTTTCTTCTTTTGTCATCCCCAAATGGCACCTGCTGTATGGATTTGTGTGGATGTGCAAGATGCTAGTGGTTATAAAAGATGACACTAATGAGGACATTTGGAGACCTGAACAATCTGAAGTATCTTACTGATCAAAATATTAATTCCTGGGGTAAAATTCTGTAACGATCAACTTCTATACTGGAAAAGTGTGAGAACTGATGATGGTTCATTTTGGTTTGCTTTGAATCAGAAAATAATGTGTTTTACATCTCTTTTTCCTGTGCATTCTGAAAGAGGAGAGCATTCCTTGCTGCAATTGGTAGTTGGAGCTGGAAGCTCCCTGCTTCCAACAGTTAAACTGCTGTGAAACTGTGCTTCACCCTGCAGAGCTGATGTTGGCATTTGCTTCAGTCTCTATTACTAGTATTAATTTTAAATGCTTAAAAACACACGTTCCTGTAAATAACTAGCTTTTAAATTGTGATATTAGGGTAAAAGCAAGCACGGTACTCTAAAACCCATCATCATGGTGTGCTCATACACAGCTTAAAACCTCCCTTCCTTGCAATGTGAATGCATGTCTGCTCGTTCAGGTGAGGAGATAAGGCTGTTCTCCTGGGAAACCTGTTGAGCAGTTGGTTGCCTTGTGCAGAAACTTGTGATTTTGCCACAGGAGCATTGACTCATGGCAGGGCTGCATGGCAGGGTGTGATTTTTTGGAGGTGGATTCAGCTGAGGGAGCAGTTTGCTGCTGCTGAAAAGTGAGAGCTTATTTTTGCCCAGTGATTTCGAATTGGCTTACCTTGCAGTCAGACAGCAACTGTTAATTTAGCTCAGTCATAATATGACATCATGGCCTCGCTATTCTCCAATGACTGTAAGTAGGTTAAATCTTATCATCCCCGTGGCTCCATGAGATTATTCTTTTCAGCCTATTAAGATTCACATGTAGAGCGTTACAAGCTGCTTTACGGTTTGAATTTCTAGGAAAAGCATGGGCAAGAGGCATGGTGTCCAAGTCTGAATAGCTGCTGTGAGGTAAGCTAGTAATTTGTAGGATGTCAGCTATTCCACAAGCAACTGTCTGCAGGGATTTTCTCATCTGTACAAAATGCGAGGTTGTTCCCCTCCACTGAAGTCAGTCTAAGTGTGGATTGCAATGGTCTGCATGCTGCCAGCTTCGCAGCACTGCTGTGTGGAGCTCAGCTGACTGAGAAGATTAAAAAGATTACAATAAAAAGAGGGTTTGTTTTTTTTTCTGATTCGTCATCCCTCAATCAGGTCCGGTTCAGGATGGGGCAGAACATGGGTGTCCCAGCTGAAGATTTCTTAACATGCTGTATGTAAAGCTTCACCTCAGGCTCCTCCCAGGTCCTTCACCTCAGCGTTAAGCACAGAACACTTCTCGCCAGCCAGGGTTCGGTTCTGTTCTGTTATAGTTATCTGTGAATTGGAAAATAGAGCTGGTTTCCAAGAGTGAGGGTAAGGACTGCAGAGCGCTTCTGGTTGGACAGTTTGTGTAAATGGAATGCAAATATTTATCTTAAGACGTTGACGCTGAATTCTGAGGTGCGTTGGGATACAGGTGGGGAAGGGAAGGCAGCAGGCATCTGAGTTCTGCCTGATGTTCCCAGCTGTACACTTTGCTGTGAACCCCTGGGGCAGTTCTTTGTGTGCTGCTTGTATGGCAGCAGCTGTGAGCCTGGCCTTTGGGACAGGTTGAAGAGGTTCTTTCTTGCCTTCCTGGGCCTTAAGATTCAATACAGCATTCCAGAAGAATGAAAATCATGCAACCTGTTATTACATGTGTGTATTTGTTCTCCTTTTCCTTTCCTTTTGTTTCAGGAGTACGGCCAACAGCCAAAAACTCAGGAAGGGGAGCTGAAAATCAGTGCTGTATTTTCAGTCAGTGGCAGTCCTCTTGGTAAGGAACTGGCAAGACTTAACTTGGTTTAAGTCTATAAAATGCATCACCTCAGCAAATAGCCTCGCAGTTTATTCTGTGAGAGTAAATTTTGTTTATTTAATATATATTATTTATATAACCCCAGTATTAAAATAAATAAATAAAAAAATTGTTTTGGTTTAGAGGTGATGAAAATCACAGACTGAAAAATAATTGCATCTTTGAGGCAAGGGAGAACTGAACGTGAAAGCAGTGTTAAAAGTGCATTCACATTCTTAAGAGCAGTTGAAACAATCCACTCTGCAGAAAACCAGCACAGGGCATGTATTATAGAGAGTTCCCTTGCTGTTTGGTTCTCCCTTAGAGCCTGACGATCCCAATGAAGCCATAAGCTTTATGCTTGCTCCCTGTGCATAAGTAAATTATGTGTAATATGTATCTTAACAGCTACTCTGTTTTCTCTCTCTCTCTTTCTTTTCATTTTAGCTCCACAGCTGTCATCAGGTTTCCAGCCTGCTGTGGCATCCTCTGGCATGAGTAAAATGCTTCCTTCAGTTCCAGGCACAGCTGTTCGGGTTTCCTGTTCTGGCTGTAAAAAAATCCTCCAGAAGGGGCAGACTGCATACCAGAGGAAAGGCTCTACCCAGCTCTTCTGCTCCACACTGTGCCTCACTGGATACACTGTTCCAGCTTGTCGCCCACCAGCTTCTACCAAGAAAACCTGCTCAAGCTGCTCGAAGTAGGACAGCCTTTTAAATTGTTTGAGAGTAGTTGTTGCTCAAGCAGATGATGAGAAGGTTTCAGTTTTCATCTTGTTCTGTTCGGTTTTCATGCTGTTCTGCAATGCCCACTTCACGCTTCCCTTCTGTAAATGATGGTGTGATTTGTTAATTGATCTGTCTGCTTTCAGTTCCATGTAGTTCATTGTGTTTTGCATACAGGTGCATTTAAAAGCCTCTGTTGTGAAGTGTACATTTTGTATTTTTTCCACGTAAAAGATGGAAACATGGAACATAGAAAACACGGATTCCATCTTTTCTAACACATACTACCTGTGTTGGAAAAGGGACTTCACTTCCCTCCTGTTCTGAGATGTCATTGCACTCCAAACAGCTAACAGATACTTGAAGAAAATATTTATTGTTTCCTCTTGGTGAAAATAGATTTACTGATGCCTACTAATGAAGTAAAACACAGATAAATTGATGTGTTCTGCACAACGCAGACCCTTAGATTCTATTGAAAAGAAAAAGAAAAAGCTTTCCAGTCTGGCTCCATTCTGTGAGCTCACATTTACACAGGTGTGAGTTCTTGGGTTCTTCAAAATATGTTACTGCTGCTATGACATGATCGTGGTCAAACCTTCATAAGATTACAGAGATTAAGCATGTCAAGAATTGAGTGTTTCCAAGAGTTGGGGCTTCAGTATTCAATCAGCTGCTTTCTGCATAGAGCCTGCTTCAAAAAAAAACACTTTAGGATAGAAGATCTGCATTTTCCACTGGCCTGCTGGGAACACCAGGGTGAATCTTCAGCTCTAAGAAACATCTCAGTTCTTCACATTCTGTTTTAGTTTGTATTATTATCTCCAAATTAGCAAAAGGACGCATCTGTGGCCAGCTCTTAGAGCTGTCACTGCTATTCAGGAGCTTGAGGCAAGTCAGTAACTGCACAGACTGATTGTTCTGGGCTCCCTTTACAGAGGACAGTGATTCATATGAATTATTTGTAGTTACGAAAGTTACTTTGCAAAGTGAATGCTGCTTTGTTCATGCATCATTTCTTAACAATAGATTTATTGCTTCCTGTTTTACAAGGTCAACTGAACTTCAGCTTGAGACTTCAGTTAATTTTTCCTCTTTCTTGCTCTCTTGGTGTAAAAAGACCTTGTAACAAAGTGTAGCAGTCTTGGCTGTAATTTGTATTTATTAAGATGGAAAATGGTTTATATCTGAAAAGACAAGAAAGAAGGAGGCATCCCTCCATCCTAGAAAGGAATATAAAGATTTCTTCCCAATTTATACACTCATTGAAAATGTTCTGTGAATGACAGTTTCAAAAGAGAGACTTAAATAGTTTATTAAATCCAATGGCAGAGAGAACAGTAGATTGGAGATTAAAGAGGAAAATAATTGTCAGACCATTTGGGGCACAACTAAATGGGAATTAGAAATCCTCACCTTTTGTTTTTCCCCCTTTCTTTCCTTATCCCATGATTATTGATATTTTCACTGTTAAAGGGAATTCATCCCCATATCCTGCTTTAAAAAATGGTTTAGTAAGTACTGTGCAAAACCTCCCAGTTCCATCTGAAGGGATTAATTATGCAACCTGATGTCTTTGTAGGCCACTCTCAAGTCAAGGTACAAAATGTTTCCCAGTGTATTTACTTGAGAATTGCACCCCACTGCTTTACTAATAGGAAAAGAAAAATGAAGATAGGTACTGAGATCAGCGAGAAGAAAATCTCTGAATTAAACAAATCCACCATCTTACAGAAAATGTTTTGTCTGCCAAAGTGGAAAGGAGAGCGAGTTGCCATGAAACCAGTGTTTAATCTCTGGGCTTTTCTTTTTTTTCCTGTAGAGAAATTCTAAATCCAAAGGATGTAATCACTGCCCAGTTTGACAATACGAATTCCAGCAAGGATTTCTGCAGCCAGTCGTGTCTTTCTACGTATGAAATGAAAAGGAAACCTATTATTACTATTCACACTAACAGCATTTCAACCAAGTGCAGCATGTGCCAGAAGAATGCAGTGGTAATGGCAAACTTCTTTTCCTTTTAAGCTTCCTTTAAATCAGGGAACTTGCATTTCCTTTCTGTTCTTGTTGATATCCTTTCTTCTCTTCCAGATCAGACATGAAGTGAATTACCAGAACGTCGTACACAAGCTTTGCAGTGATGCCTGCTTCTCCAAGTTCCGTTCTGCTAATAACTTGACCATGAACTGCTGTGAGAACTGTGGAGGTTACTGCTACAGTGGGTCTGGGCAGTGTCGCATGCTGCTGATAGAGGGACAGTCAAAAAAGTTCTGCAGTTCAACATGTGTGACACTATACAAGCAGGTATATTTTGACACGGTGTTAGAAGAACACCTTTGGTAGGTTTTGGTTTATTAGCTGATGGTTTCCATTGCTTTCATAGTCTTAAGATGCTTCCTTTGCCATTTGCTGCTTAGTTTTTGCTAGAAATGTTGCTCTGTTTCCCTTACCACTGCAAAGACAAGCTGAGTATTCCTGTGTGAGAGAAGACACAGTGGGACCACTTGGCAGCAGTCTGCTGTGGCACATTTGGGCCATCCTCTGAGGAGCTAACCATCATCTGACAAAGCACACAAACCTCACGAGCAAAGCCCTTTTGGCAGCCTCTGGGATTGCTCTGAGCGTTCTGTGCTGTGACAGCAGTGGTGCAGTTTCACACCAGCTGCCTGAGAATTCTTAAAAATCAAGAGCAATTTAACTGTAGGGCATCTCACACTACGACACATCCTTCCTGACACTGAAAAAGAGATTATTTCTGATATTATGTCTTTCTAAACACCTTGTCTCAGGTGTGCTCTACAGCTTTGTGGTCTTGGGTACCTTAAGTAACAGAAAAACACGAGAGAGCACTTCGTTTTTGACCCATTTCAGCTGTGAAAATTGTAGCATTTGAACTAAGTGGAAAAAGTGGTAATTAGTTGATCATTTTAATTGTCATTTTTAACTTCTTTAATATTTTAATTTTGATTTTAATGGTGTTGGGTTATGAAAAATACTAAGCTTCAGGTGCATGACCAATTTTACTGTTTCCACAGAAGTCAGCTAAAATTACACCCTGTGCACTGTGTAAATCCTTGAGATCTTCAGCTGAGATGATAGAGAGCACAAATAACTCGGGAAAAACTGAGCTGTTTTGCTCTGTTAACTGCTTGTCAGCATACAGAGTAAAAATGGTTACTTCGTCAGGTAACTTTAGTCCTTTATTCTGTTATAGACATAATTTCACGGGGCTTAAATCCAAACTTGGTCTTGAAAGTTAAGGCTGATGTTCTTTTCTGGGGTGTAGAAAGCAGTGTTTGTTTTAAGGGAAGGTGCTGAGATGGGAGCATAAGGATTTTGTAACGTAAATAAACCTAACGGTGACAGTGTAGCCATTTCAGCTTTGTTTATAGAGATCTGAGAGATGATAACAAACCTTAATGTGTTTTCTGCTGGTGTAAGTGAAGGCCAAGGAGTGGGGGGGGGAGGCTTCTAGTGTCCTAGGGGTACTGGGAGAATAATGAAAGGATCTGGCAAACAGCAGCCACTGCAGCTGTGATGTCTGCTTCTGTCTTGTGCCTTAGCATGTACTTTGTCCTGTCATGCAGAACCTCTGGGTTTGTATGCACGGTGCAAAGCTATCTGCAGGGGGACTCCATGTTGAATAAATCACTTTTTCTTCTCTGTTTCACTCTCAGGTGTTCAAGTTCAGTGCAACAGCTGTAAAACTTCAGCCAACCCTCAGTATCACTTGGCTATGTCAGATGGGAGCGTACGCAATTTCTGCAGCTACAACTGTGTGGTAGCTTTTCAGGTGTGATATCTGGGATTTCTTCTTAGCTCGATTAATAGAGTAATAAATCAAATACCTGGGGTGTCGGGTAAAATACACAACTGTAAAATAAGGCTCTTTTTTTTGCTCTTCTGCAGAATTTGTTCAACAAACCTGCAGGAGTGAACTCTTCAGTCGTACCCCTGTCTCAAGGTCAAGTCATCGTAAGCATTCCCTCGGGGACAACGGTGTCAGCAGGTGGCACCACCTCCACTGCATCTCCCAGCTCTGGGAGCAGTTCAGCTGCAGCTGGTCTACAGAGGCTGGCTGCCCAGTCCCAGCAAGTCACTTTTGCCCGCAAGGTTGTAAAACTCTGGTGTCAGCACTGTAACAGATTATTTGCAACCAAGCCAGAACTGCTTGACTTCAAGGTAATAAAGACCAGGACTTCTCTGGCTTGTCTCTCTCCATCAGACAGCTCAGAAATTACAACCTATATGGCTGTGGTCTGTTGGTGCTGCTCTGTTGTTTGCTGTGATCTGCTGTGGGGGAATTTGGAACCGATTTTGTTATCATTCAATTGTTATCAAAATTAATACTGAAAAACAGAAAACAACTGGAAAACAAAAACCCCACACTCAAACCATTACGTGTCGAAATAAGCACATTCCTGATCCTTCGTCCCAGAGATGATCTTTTAATTCCTGCACAAAGCACGTGGGTGAGGACTCGTGGCAGAAAATTCTGCTGTCTTTGCTGAAAATCTATTTGGATTTACTTACTGGTGCTGTCTGTTGATGATTTTTCAAGTGCATAAATATGCTGAGTTCTTACTATTGAGATGTAGTAACTGGATATGAAATATTGAAACCAAAACATTCTGACTGTGTTGCAGGGTAAAATGTTCCAGTTTTGTGGGAAGACCTGCTGTGATGAATATAAGAAGAGGAGGAGTGTAACAGCCCTGTGTGAATACTGCAGAACTGAGAAAATTATCAAGGAGACAGTGCGAATCGCGGGCATAGATAAGCCATTCTGCAGTGAAGGTAAGAAAGAGCAAGGCTGTCTCAGAGAAATGAAGTTAGAAGAGTCTTGCCTTAAAATTATTTGTGATACTGAGGGAAACCTAATAAACCAGGTCAGAAAAATTTATTTTAGGCTTAGAAACCTGGAACTTCATTCACACTTTAATGCAGTATTTCAACAAATGATTCCAGAACCAGAAATGCCAAACACACAACAGTTTGATCTTGAAGGATGCTTTTGTTATTCTGCTGTTTTTTCTTCTCTTAGGTTGCAAACTGCTCTATAAACATGACTTGGCTAAGCGCTGGGGAAACCACTGTAAAATGTGCAGCTACTGTTTGCAGACCTCCCCCAAACTGGTCCAGAATCTTTTTGGGGGGAGAATGGAAGAATTCTGCTCAGAAGAGTGCATGTCTAAATTCACAGTTTTGTTTTACCAGGTAAATAATAATGTCATATCCTCTATAATAGGAAAGTGTTAGTGGAAGTTCTGAAAGTTAGGAGCTGTGTTAAATGCCTGTGGTTGACCTCCGTGTCCCTGGAAGGTATTACATACACATATGAGAGATGAGTAAATCCTTCTCAACTTCGGAGTGGCAGTTTCATAAATAAAGAAAACCTGATATGTCTCTGGGGGGGGAAAACCTGAGTGTCCTGCTGCTTTGTGTCACACTGATGCACTCTTAAAGATTTATTTACACTGTGTTTGCTGAGTGTGTTGTGAAGAGGTTGGTATGCATACATGCTTTGTTGCTTTTAACACACACGTTCAATTTCTCTCTCGCTGTTTTCCCAGATGGCAAAGTGTGATGGTTGTAAGAGACAAGGTAAACTCAGCGAGTCTCTGAAATGGCAAGGAGATGTGAAACATTTTTGCAATCTGCTTTGTATTCTGATGTTCTGTAAGCAGCAACGTACTTCTGACCTTCCAGCCTCAAACAACACAGGTAAAATGGGATGTGGCCAGCATTACCTCTTAATGTGTGTGATAATGATAGGAATGTTTCTTTGGAAACTCCATTTAGTGAACTTTTACAGCCCTCTGTTGGGGTGCTTGTCCATTGTAATTGAATGGGCTCAGTTTAAGATATGTCTTTTACTTCAGGCAGTTTCAAACTTCCATAGGTATGAAATGATGTTGCTCATGAAGCAAACCTATATTTTGATTTTAGGTATTAAAATAAGCACTTACTTTTCATCTGCTTTCCTAAAAAAGGAAGCCCATTTCAATAGGCTGAAATGTACTGATATCTGTTGAAGGCATGATAAATACTCAGCTTCCTGTACTTGGTAAGACAGAGATAAAGGAGAATGTTAATGTTCATTTAACAAGGAAAGTCGAGCAGATAAGTGCTTAGGTTTAGTGGCTGTAAATGTATGTTTTGATGTACGACTTGTTGCTGGTTCTGTGTTGTCAGTAGGCGTTGAAGACTTGCATTTTCTGTGCCATTAAGTGTTGATTCTTCGAGTATCAGTTCTGAGGTTAATGTATGGTGTAGCTGTTTTGTTGCTCATTATTTCAGCAGGTGGAATGGGGAGGAGGGTGGGAGTGAAGCCCACAGGAATAGGAACTGTGAGTTTCTGTAGGGAATGAAATGCAAAGGGAAGAAAGGAAGAAAGGCGCACAAAGACAGGAAGAGGAAGCGAAACAAAGGGCAGAAATAGCACTGATCCTAAAGAGGGGCATGTTCTCCCAGAGAGTGATGGTGACTGCAACAGTAAGGTACCCGTTAAGCAATAAAGAATATTAACTGACAGTTTATAGTATGCACCAGGCCATACTATATTGAATTCTGTGCTCCTGCTTCGCTTGGTGGGGATTGTTTTCTTTGACTAAGAGTAATATATAAGTTACTTTTTACCTTCAGGCCGTAATTAGACTGTGTGACACTCCTGATTTTGATCAGTATGCTTGGCTGTTAGCAAGGAAGTGGCTTAGAACAGTATTTGTCATGAAATGCAATCGTGATGCTTTTAAGTAGGAAGAACCTAAAAGTTCCTCTGCAAGAGTGTCATAAAATCCACCCCATTCATTGTTAGGATGTTGAGGATGGTGCTGAGCACAGTGGGACACCTGCTTCTGTTGTCTGCTCAGTGCTGCTCTAAGACACGTGCTACTAGAGACAGAAAACTGCTTTCATACTGTGATAAACTTCTGAAAAGTCTCAGTGAATTGAAAACAGCTGAAGTTTGCTTATGGATCCAACTTCTGTTTGAGCTGGAATCCTCCAGTTTGACACACTCTCCTCATAAAGCAGGCTTTTTCATCTGGAGATAAATCCGGAGGGTGGATGTTGTTTCAGAAACGCCGTTGTGTCTGTCATCATGTTGCTTACTGCTGTTTTCTTCTGTTTGTTCCATCCAGCAAACCCTTCTACAGCACCAGCTTCCTCGTCAGGCCCTCCTTCTTTGAGGAAGGACTCAACCCCAGTCATAGCAAATGTGGTGTCCCTTGCGAGCACCCCTGCTGCCCAGCCTACGGTTAACTCCAACAATGTTTTACAGGGTAGGACTGTTACAGTTGATTTCTCTATTTTTAAATCTCTATTCCTGGATGTTTGTATTTGTTCAGGGGTCTTTTCCACTGAGGACAACAGCTTCTTCATTATGCTTCATGTCTTTGCTGAGGGTTGCTGTCTTGTCCCTCCTTTACCTACATGTAAATACTGACGTAGGTCTGTTCACTTGCAGTGGGGAATGAGGTTAAAGGAAATTCTTTTTCCCCACCTGGCAGAATGTGGGCTGTGGTCCTTGATAAATGCACAGACTAATCCTGTGTGTTGCTTTTTTTTATCCACAGGAGCAGTCCCTACAGTGACAGCAAAAATAATAGGAGATGTAAGTTTTACAAGAGACTATTTTTCTCACTTTCGTCCAGATTGTATCAATAACAAGTAAAGTATCCAATATTTAGCACCTTAATTTTGTTACTATTTTTCCTGTGATTGACATTTAAGATTCATCCAGCTTGCAGTTACACACCTTATCCATTTTTAAAAATGTGTGATGTAAAAGTTCTCATGTGTCCAGTGACAGGTTGGTTTGATGGCTTAGCAAGGCTTATCAGACTGTGGCTCTTGAGATGGCAGCAGCTCTCAAGCACTTTGTGCATGGCTTTTGTACTGAAGGCTAATTTTTGTGGCCAGAGGTGGGATGTGATGTCAAAAGGGCTGCTGTGGGAAGAAGGAAACCAGCATGGGCTGCTGGGACTGATGTTATCCACCTCTTGCAGCTTAGCTGTTCTTCCCCACTCCTTTGTAGTGTGGTAGTGAAGCTATGGGGAACGGCTGTCACTTCTTATATGTGACTAACTCCTAGAGTTCCTGTTCTTGGGCTCTTTGAGGTAGGTGGTGTACATCTTGGAACTCTCTTAAATTAGGAAGATTTTGCTGTGTAGCTTGTTGTTTCTGGGAGATTGGCATCCTTCCTTTTATCTGGAGGGTAATTTATGGATTAGAGTATCATTTTTTTGTAATGAAACAGATCGTGTTGTATGAACGCATGACTGGAAATCACTGTTGGCAGAACACAAAATTAATGCAAGCATAAAAAGTCAGTCTGTGTATAATTAGGAATTGATACTGCCAGCGTTTGTGTTCAGTTTTTTTCTATTCCTTTGCAGTGATTTCACATTGATTTACTGAAGGTTTTTTGAGCATATGTATCAGCCAGTATTTTTGTCATCAGGAGTATCTTAAGTGCTGATCTTAAAATTCTACTGCTGATAAAAAAGAAGTTTATAGAGGTTTGACTACAGAAACCAAATATCCTCTGAGATCTGTTTTTTTGCTTTGCAGTAAAATAAGTTGATGTGAAGTGCAGAAAACACCAAATGGATCACACCAAAAAAACACCAAATAGCAAGCTATTTTATGGGAGCTTTTAAATTTAATTAATAAAGACAGTTTGAAATTGTTCAACATTTCCTAGCAGAGGACAAGTATGAATCTTACAATATCATACTGCAACCAATGCTGACTGTGCCCTCGTTTGTATTTTTCCAAACAGGCAAGCACTCAGACAGATGCCCTGAAACTGCCATCTTCACAGCCACCTAGGCTTCTGAAAAACAAAGCATTGTTGTGCAAGCCAATCACACAGACCAAGGCCACCTCATGCAAACCTCATACACAAAATAAAGAATGCCAGACAGGTATGTGTTTAATCTCCAGCCCATTTTATAGAAGCCTGTAGTGCAGTCAGCATGTGTGATTTATGCAACAGACTGTTAGTAGTCTCTTCCTATGGTCTTGTAGTTAGCTGTGAGATGACTGTAATAGCATTTATTTGGCTGCAGACCTTAGCATTTATTTCCTCTCCCTTCCCTTCCACCTTTCATGTATTTGGTCACTGTGCTGCTTATTTCCAAACTGTTCTGTCACTATTTGTTCCAGCAGTGCTGACGTGCAAGATGACTGTGAGCAAAGATGTTCTGTGCCCATTGAGTGACAAGCAGAAGTCACTACTAGTGGAACACCAAGCACTTGTGGTGGACACTGTGAAGTGTGTGAGGGTCTAATGGTCACACAATTGTTGTTTTGTTTTTAATGTAACAGAGGAAGAAGAAGTTCAACCCAAAATCATTGTGGTACCTGTTCCTGTACCAGTGTTTGTGCCAGTACCCCTCCACCTCTACACACAGTACACGCCAGTTCCACTTGGGATGCCAGTACCTGTAAGTTATGCTCACTGAAGTGATTATAAGTTATGTTCACTGAAGAACTGGTTTGCAGTTTTGGTTTTGATTAAGAGCCACGTGACTGGGCTTTGTGATTAGTCACATGAGTGGTATTTGGAGTCTGTGAAGCCATTTCCTTATCACCTACTTAGCTTCATTATGTCAAAACACCAATTTGTAGGGTAATTGCAGAGATGACAAGGGCTTTTTTGTCCTGGAGTTATTTGAAATTACGTGTAGTCCTAAAAGTGTGTAAGTAAGATTAAATAAGGAGAATCTCCCTTGTGTGTTTGCTGCTTCCCTTCATCCCAAACAATCTCTAATAATTTCTGCATGTCTGTGTAGGTACCTGTTCCCATGCCTTTCCCAACTACTTTGGATAATGCTGATAAGATCCTTGAAACAATTCAGGATATCAAAGAGAAGATTCCCATAAGTCCATTTGAAGCAGATCTCCTTCAGATGGCAGAAATGATTGCAGAAGATGAGGAGAAAGACAAAACACACTCTCATGGTGGTATGTGGTGCTTTTAAAAGGGAACTAAATGCAGTGAGATAGAGGGGTCCTTTCCTTATGGTAAATAGGCAGAGAAATGGGTGTGTAGCCTCTGTTACCTGCAGAGCTTTATGTGTCTTTGCATTCCTTTTCCTCAATCCTAGGTGCTGATTTAACTTACGTTGGCAGTAACAGGTTGCTAGTGGAAGTAATCTCCAGACCAGTACATCATGCACTGGCAGGAGACAAAATCAAGAAGGCAGAGCAGCTGCTTTACAAGAATATTTTCCTGTCAGGCTTGTTATGGTGGATTCCTGAAGGGTGATGCGGGTTAGAATGTGTTGGAAAGCAGTCATACTATGCAACAGAAGTGGAGCAAGCTGAAAAGAAATGAACAAAATACTGCATTTGCCTACAGATGACTGCCAATGACAAATATGGAGGGATGAAAATAGAACATGGGTTAATTCTTTTTCTCCCATAACAGCGTGAGCTAGGAGAGAGCTGTTATAAAACTGTAGTGGGGGGTAAGGTGTGTCTGTGGAAGCACTGTGACCTCATACATGTATTTTTTTGGCATTCACAATAGTGTATTAGTTGTGTAGGCTGTAAATCATTTGTAGATGAAAGTTTCCTTCTTTCTCTAAAGGCTCTCAAACGTCTGAGCATGAGCTCTTCCTGGACCCCAAGATGTTTGAGAAAGGTCAGTTTGACTTTTTCTTGCAAAGGGTCTTTGATCTGGACATATCTTCAAACCCTTCTTTTTGTCTGTCCTTTCCTGTAGCACGTGGTATATCTGATTGCTCTCATTACAGACCAAGGTAGCACTTACAGTGGAGATCTAGAATCAGAAGCAGTATCCACTCCACACAGCTGGGAAGAAGAGTTGAATCACTATGCCTTACGATCAAACGCCCTGCCAGAACCAGATCCAGAACCCAAGCAGATCTCCAAAGGTGAAGTGGAGCAGGACCTGGAGGCAGATTTTCCATCAGGTCTGTATAACACTAAGAAAAATACACACAGCTTTGAGTCAACGTTGTTTGCTTAAGAGGGGGTTTATGTTTTCATTCAGTTAAACTGGATATTGAAAGCAGCAGCAATACGTCAGCTCTACTAAAATTCACTGTGTTTTTACAATATTATTGCTATCTTTACAGACAGCATTTTGCAGAACCACTGTCGAGAGTAGCACATATTCTTGCCTGACTCTCTTCAATGGATCAGTTTTGTTCCTAGCTATAATCCATGTTAGTGGTGCAAAAGAATATCAGTTCATCTGGATGAATGCAGCCACTGTTTGGGGGTGGGGCTTTTTCTTCTGAGTGCATTTATTGCTCAGTTGTTCAGTCATAAAGTATTACATGAATATACAGATGTAATTGGAGTTGCTGGGGTACTTAGTATTTTATGTGACGCTTCTTCTCAGGCTTGTTAAATCATATAATTTAAATTCTTAATGGTGTTGATTTGACTTCAGACTCATTTGACCCTCTCAGTAAGGGACTGGGTTTGCATTCACGTTCACGAGCAAGACGGAGGCACAGAGATGGCTTCCCCCAGCCAAAAAGACGGGTAAGAAAGTCCTCTGGAGTGTTAATGCCTTGCACTTACAGCAGTAATGTTAGATGAACCCCTGGAAGTAAAAACAAACTATTGAGCCAGGGTGGAAGTGAGAATTCAGTTTAGCTGCACGGCATTTTTTCCTGTTCTTCATGATAAATACTTTCTTCTCTTCCCTGCATGTTAAAAAATGCATGTGTATACCTTCACCTCCTCTCATGGGAGTAGCATTTTGTTACCATGTCAGTTTATTGCTCTCTTTATACGAGGTGAAGTGAAGCATCCATGGATGAAGTGCTTACTAAGCTTTTATTTGCTTTACTTTCTTTGTTCTCCTGTAGGGACGAAAGAAGTCTGTAGTTGCTGCAGAGCCCCGCAATCTGATGCAGGGCTCCTACCCAGGATGCTCTGTTTCTGGGATGACCCTGAAGTACATGTATGGGGTAAATGCCTGGAAGAACTGGGTCCAATGGAAAAATGCACAGGAGGAACAGGGGGACCTGAAGTTTTCAGGTAAACAGGAGTAATTGGCTGAATAAGTCGGTATAATATGTTTGTCAAGACAAAATTCAGTTTTAAAATAGCCATAAGTAGACGAAAGTTTTCAGAGCATCTTGCATTTAAAAATCTCAGCCTTTCATTGCTTTCTTAGTTGATCCATTACCTTTCAAAGCAGGCTCTGAAATACCAGATTTCAACACGAAATGTTGGTCTTTTAACCTCACGTGTGTGTTCGTTTACATGCACTAATTCTTCACTTCTAGAACAGCTGTTTTATGCAGCTGCAAAGCCCTTACTAAGCTGTTAGTAGACCACACTTACAAGCTGACTACACAGACTTGGCCCTGTCTTTCCATCTCTAGCTCATACATTCACAGAGTATTTGTCAGCATCAGTGTTTGCTGTAAAAAGCTGTGCACCACAGTGTTCTTTCTGAGCTGCTGGAAACAAACCTTCCACAAGTGCACCCGTTCTGTGCTGCACTCTGCCTGAAAGTACCTTTAAAAGGCATGAATTGTTCCTTGGGTCTCACTGGGGTGATAGATAATAATGACAATATAAATGTCACTTCTGCTTGTTTTTCTAATTATGGATGTTTTTCGGGTTTTAGTTCTTGTACAAAAGCACAGCCCCACTCCTGGGGTTTGGCACTGTCTGACTCCCCTTTTCCCTGGTCTCAAGTCTGTCTTACATGCTCACACTGAGTGTTTTGTGGGCAAGTTTTCAGAGTGCAGCAGAGAATTTGATTTAGTTTTGTAACTGAGCTTTTTGAGGACAGTGGGGAAGAGAGCAGGCAGTATTAAATGCTTCTGCAGTGCATAGATCTAGGTGTGGCAGAGCTTATATAAGAAAGATCCCAAAAGGGAAAATGCTGTTTAGAATGAGCTCTGCTTTCTCCTTTGTCATTACACGAGAGCAGCTGTTTTTTGTTTTAATCACATGAATGGTGGGCTTTTCTCATAGCTAAGAAAACAAAGGTTACCAACAGCTCCAGGAAACAACAGCAATCCCCACAGAAAGGTTCCCTGCTCAGCCCCAGGCAGTCACTCAGCAGTGGAGTGGCCAAGCAGTCATTTCACTGCAGGTTCTTTGATCGATTCTCTGTGCTGCTTCATTTTCTGAATCTCACAGCCCTGTAAATTCTCCATTCCTTTTCCCTTTAAGGAGTCGAATTCTCTGTGCTCAGCTCGTGCCCAGAACTACTAGGAAATATTCAGGATCCTTTTCTCACTCAAGGTTCCCCTGAGTCCGGCTGTGAAGGATTTGCCAACCCTGCTATGCCAGCCCAAGTGCAGTTACCATTGCTGCACCAGATCTTGGATGCAGTGAACCCCCGGGTGTTGAAGTGTAAAGATTTAATCTCTGGCATAAAGATATTTCTTTAATCGTGTTCTTCACCGCAGTTCGTCCTGTGAAGCTCAAGGAGGACATTCTCTCGTGCACTTTTGCTGAGCTGAGCTTTGGCCTGTGCCAATTTATTCAAGAGGTGCGGAGACCGAACGGAGAAAAATACGATCCTGACAGCATCTTATACTTGTGCCTTGGAATTCAGCAGGTAAACCACAATCAGGATGCTGCAGAGAGCATACAAACTTGTAGTGGCCTTCTGGGCTTCATACCCATAGTCTCAAGTAGCTGCTTGTTTTTTGTAGAGGTGAGAACGTATCTTTTTGTGCTTCTTTCTTAGTGTGGCTTAATCTCTTACTCTACTAATTTGTTTTTTGATCAGAGTAAACAAACCTCTTCTGTACTTGGGAGGAATGTGACGTGGACGGCTTGACACAAGTCTTTAGGGTTGGGACTGTATTTACCCCTTTAATGTATAGGAAAGAATTGTAGTAACCTGAGGTTCCTCAGAAGAATTTGATTTGTGATTGAATGCTGTAGATCTAAAATAGCTGCACAGTGCTCTTCTGAGATGTGAGTTTACATGGAAGAGATTGCCTGGCAAAGGCTGTGCTCATTCACTAGCTCTATTTCAGCAGCTCAATCTGCTGGGCTGCTTTTTCAAGAATATTTTAATACCTAGAGGATGGTGATTTTTTTCAGAAGAGAGCTCTAGAGCTGGGAATAATGAAAATAATTCTGGCCTAGATCTCTCATTTCATACCAAGGAAATCCCAGTCCATGCAGAAAATCTGATATGGTACCTTACTGAAGATTTCAGCAAAGCATTTTGGACCATAAGACACTCAGACGTAGGGAGGGTGAAGCATCTGATGTCCTGTATCTCTGCAATGTTATGTATTCATAAATTACATGTCTTCCTTTTTTTCTCTCGTAGTACCTGTTTGAGAATGGTAGAATAGATAACATTTTTACCGAGCCCTATTCCAGGTTTATGATTGAACTTACAAAACTTTTGAAAATCTGGGAACCTACAATTCTTCCAAATGGTAGGACAATTATTTTATTTTGTGTAGCTGCATGACAAAGCCTTATTATGAGTATTTTTCTCAGTGCCATGAAGAAGGGTGTGATCTGAGGCATTCACATTAGTCTCCTCTTTCTCCACCATGCAGTTGTTTGTGGTAGACTAGAATCATGGGTTGTGTGTCTGTCTCTACCAGTTATGGGTTTCACTTCGAGATTCCTTTCCCTCCTTTGATTGATCTCTCAGCTCCTTTAAAGGCTTCCCACTCCTGCAGTCAGTGTGCTGGTTCTCTTTGCTCAAGTTTGAGCTGATCTTTTTGAATCCAGAACTGCATGCAGTGTTTGAGATGAGTTGCTTGGAGTGGAGCTGCGGAAGTGTTTCCACATCAGTACTGGAAATGCTTCTGATCAATCAGGATCGTCTGAGGAGATCATTGGAGCCTTGTCTCAATCCTTGGCTCCAAGTTCTTCTCACCTCAATCACATTAAGAGTTCCCCAATCCTGCAGATATCATTAATTGTCCTTGAAGGATATTCATGCAGTTTATGAGGGTGGTCAGAAGCAATATGAAGATGTAAGATGTTTTTTTCAGATTGCTACCAAAACACCAACAGCTCCATAGATGGATCTGAAACTGGCTTTTTGTTTACAACTTCCTGCTGGTGCAGAAATAACCCAATTACTTACAGGCAGCTGTGTACAGTGGAGTTTTCTTGCACAACAAATCTTTCATCAGCCTCAATTTCTCCTTCCTAACTTAGGATGATAAAACTGGGTGATCTGTGTATAGAGATGGGGTATTTTAAACCCGTGCTCCATGTCCCAGGAGCTGGATGTTCCTGCAGTCAGCTGATTTAATGCAATTAAAACTGAGCGAGGTTCTGCTGATGTCTGTAATCTTGCTTTGTATGCCTTTGTCCGTTCATCAGGTGTTGAAGATGGTGCTGTTCCACAGCTTGGCTCTCCACGCTCCCTCTATGTCCTTGCATGCAGTGCTCTTGGTTTTATGTTGCAGTTACCTATGATAGATCTGATTTTGTTTGAATGCACAGTTGGTTCATGTACAAAGTTAGCTGGAAGAAGACTTAAATCATCTCTGACACAATCTGCCAATGTAATTTTACTCATTTCTGTGTCCTGCTCTGCTCATGTATGAGGGTTTGCTTTGGGAAGATGGGGAAAATCTCTTAGATGGCCAGCAGCCTGTAAAAGCCATTACATTCCTTTGTAACTGAGCATGAGGAGCTGTCCTAAAATTACACAGGTGACACTTCTTCTTTCTCTGCACATTGTTTCTAGGTTATATGTTCTCAAGAATAGAAGAGGAACACTTGTGGGAGTGTAAGCAACTGGGTGCATATTCCCCCATAGTTTTACTGAACACGCTGCTATTCTTCAACACCAAATACTTTCAACTAAAGAATGTCAGTGAGCACCTGAAGCTGTCCTTTGCCCACGTCATGAGGAGGACCAGGACCCTGAAGTACAATACTAAGACAACATATTTACGTTTTTTCCCACCCTTTCAAAAACAAGAGGTAGAATCAGGTGAGTGGATGCTTTGTGGTCGCTTCTGTTTCTGCAGTCATGTTTCTATGATCTCCTCCTTATTTGAAAAGGGCAGGGGAGAAAAGCATAGAGTAAGCAGAGCCGTGGGTAGTTTGGTTTCTGCTCTTATCTTGCACTTTCTCCTTCACTCTGGGATGATTTAAAGAGAAACAGTTTGAAAGCAGCCACCTCAAGCAATGTGTTTCGAGGTGTTGCAGAGTCCAGTCAGGCTGGTGCTGAGCTCTGTGTAACCTTTCATGTGCTGCTCTTCTCTGAACTCGAGCGATGCCATTTTTGTGTGTCCAGATAAACTGTCTGTAGGCAAAAGGAAACGTGGAGAAGATGAGGAGATTTCAACAGCAGTGGAAATGGCTGAAAATGCAGATAACCCCCTGAGGTGTCCGGTGCGACTCTATGAATTTTACTTGTCAAAATGGTAAGTGATAGAACTTCATCTTTAATCTGCACTTAGATTAGAACAGGAATTCAGGCAGTGACTCTCCTCAGACATCTTGTTCTTTGTGAAAGAGGGTAGGAAAAGTGTGATTCAGGCAAAAGTGGTGATGGCTCTTGCTTGCTGAGATGTGAGATTAATTTTTATTTAGCAGTTAGAGACCAGCAAGGACACAGACACAAATTAATTTACCTTTCCTGCTTGGTATCAACTTTAGGTAGATCTGAGAGCAGGTGGGGCATGGTGTCCCTCAAAGAAAAGACACCAACAGAATGAAACAGGATCTCATTAGTGTCAGCTGTAGCTCAAATAAATCACCCTCCAAAATGCACCTAGTGAGCTTCCTGCAGAGTCCCATGGCTCTGTTTGTGCCTCACAGCTCCCCCGACTCTGTCGTATCTTCCTCGTATTTGCTTGCATAGCTTTAGAAGATGTTGGCTGTCCTTGGGCTGAGAAGGATTTCCATGTTCCTCAAGGAATATCAGCTCCTGCAGAGCCCTGCAGCAGCACGAGCTGCAGTGAGTTCACTTTGCTGTTCTGATGTGAAAGCACCAAGGCCAAGCAGGAGGGATCCTTGCTCTGGAGGACTTTGTCCCTTCCTTCCAGCACGGAGATCTGATGGTCAGTTTGCCAAGCAGATGAGCTCCCGTTCTGCAGCAGGAGAAGCAGGCTGGGATTGAGTTCTGCTGCTCCTTCCACATTTATTGTCCCAGAGCTGTGGAACGGAGGGATGGAAGGTTTTGTTTAGAGATGGAATGGCAGGCGCTTCTGTCAGTCATACAGAGACTCCGGTGTTGGATGGTTGGTGTGGCTGACACTGCAGCTGAAGAGCTGCAGAAAAGAAGTCACTGAAGTCTTTGTTTCTTTGTAAGCAGCTGGATCCAAGTGCCTGGGAGCAGCTTAAATATCCACAGAGCTGAAGAGGGGAAACCAATCCCCTAACAGAAAGATTCTGATTACGCTGCTTCAACGGCAGTGTTGTGACCTCAGTGTGACTCCCGTTTTCCTTGTTGTTTCTCCGTGGCTTTTTTCTGAGTGAGGCTTTTAAAGCTGCCTTCTGTGATGTGTTTTCTTTTTCCGTTGACAGCTCTGAAAGTGTGAAGCAGAGAAGTGATGTGTTTTACCTTCAGCCCGAGCGCTCCTGTGTACCCAACAGCCCCATGTGGTATTCCACATTGCCCATAGACCCAGGGACCTTGGACATCATGTTAACTCGCATTCTTATGGTGAGGGAGGTACATGAAGAACTTGCCAAAGTCAAATCAGAAGATTCTGATATTGAGTTATCAGACTAAGTGAAGTGGGATGTTTTCCTTTGAATGCATCGGAAGCACCAAACTGTGAATACGTCCAGCTTTTGGAAAATGTGTATGAAATCAGCCAGGATCGTGTCACCTACAGGCATATTTGGAACCACAGCGGATGTACAAACTGGAACTGGAAGGAGACAAGTTCCATAAGCTGCAAGAAGCAACGTCCTGTGGCAGGCAGCCACGAATCCTCTGAACAAATTCAAGTTGAACTAACCTGTTTGAGTGGTGCATAAATCCTTTATCTGTGTAGGGTTTAAAAAAGAAAAAAAAAAAAACAAAAAAAAAAGAGATTTTTTTTTAAGGAAAATGGTCGTGGAACATCTCCCATAGCGGTGTCAGGCTGTGGCTCACGTCACCTCTCAGCCTGCTGGCTGGCAGTCCTTGCTGCCAAAGAACAGTGGAGATCTTGGAGGTCTTCACGGGAACAGGAGAGGATTTGGTGGTATGGAGAGAACCAGGCGACTTCCGTGACAAACACCAACAAGCTTTTGTAATGTTTTTTAAAGCCGGGATCAAACGCTGGCAGGCAGAGGCTGAGGGCACAGCAGGGAGCTGCTGAAGCCGTGGCTGCGGTGCCAGCCTTGCTGTCAGCCCAGGGCAGCAGCTCCCAGCCGAGCTGTGCTGTAGGTCAAAGCTGAGAGCATCGCCTCTGGGTTCCCTATGGGAGGGGGCAGCCGTGGGGCAGGAGCAGCAGATCCTTTACCTGCCCCCAGCTCTGCAGGCTGTCGATTCTAATCTAGCAAATACTGAGGTGCGTGGACGTTTTTTTCCCCCTTGAGGCAGCTTTCCTTTCTCCTCTCTCCCCACTCCTGTGGTTTTGGTTATTTCAGAGGGCAAATCCCCAGGGTTACTCGGACAAAGGGACGTGCACTCTTTCTCTTTCCACCCTTGCAGTGTGTGCAGTGTTGTCCGAAGGACGCAGTATTACTTCTGACAGCAGAACTGTGGCAGCCAGCAGCCCTGTGTGTCTTTCCCACCCCACGCAGAGAGTTGCAGAGGTGTGATGCTGGGGAGTCAGGAAGCCTTTCTGGAGGCTTGGCTTTGAAGAGAAGAGCTCCCACCTTGTGCTGAGAGGGCAGGACCTCATCAGATGCTGTACCTCCATACATAGCTGTGTGTTTCTGATGACTTAGCGACCACAAATCCATTGGAAACCCAAACTCTGCCGAAGAGAATGGTGTGGGTTTTCTCTAGTTCTGGTCAGCTGTCCATCTGCTGTAAAACAGGGCTCTGACATTTGATCTCGTCACTACAATTTCAAGAGGTGAAAATCGACAGCCTTTCGTTACCTTTTCTTTTTGGTTTCGTTTTTCGTTCGTTGGTCGTTGTCTTTTTTTTTTTAATTATTTTTTTTTTTAGCAGTAACAAAAGTAATTTAACAAGAAAAAAAAATAAAATCAGAAAAGTAGCCTATTGACGTCGTGTAAACTCGGTAGTCCTGTCCCTTGCCTGTAACAGATTTCACTGATGTATTTTTTAATACAGAAAACTTATGTGAAAAGTAAAGCTGCCCCTGGTTGTGTCTGCTCCAAGCCCACTGTGTGTGTGTGTGTGTGTGTGTCCTGCTCTGCCATCCTGGGCAGGATCCTGGTTCCCTTGGCTGTCGTCCATCCGTACCATTGCAGAAGCTGCCCTGGCTGCTCGGTGGAGGTTGGTTTCGTGCTCTGAACGCTGACCTTCCCTCCCCACGGCGGTATTGCAGTAGTTTGAATGCAGGCACGGCGTTTTGTGCTGGGATGCTTCAGGGAAAAAGAGTTCAGTGACCGCATGGCTGGGTCTGTAGGGGGTGGAAAGAAGCCCGAGCTGCACTGGTGACAAATGGAGCTGTGTCTGAATCTCAGTGTCAGGAGGAGGGAAGGAGCCAGGAGCTGCTGCATAACGCATTCGGTTTGCCCTGTCTGGAGCCCGTTGCTTTTTTGTGAGCACTTCTGCTTATGTTGATTTTATTTTTCCAGGTGCTTAGAATGGAAAGGATTTGCCCTCAGCAGGGAGAGGTGAATCCCTAAAAGCGTGGCTGTCTGAAGGCAGTTGTTCCCCATGGCAAAAAATTCCCGTTATCTCACGGCTCTGAGGCAGACAGGGCTGCTGGGTGGTGCAAGGATCAGAACAGATGCTTTCGGTTTCCATTGCGGATTGAGCTCCGCCCTGGGCGCTGTGCTGAGGCTCCCAGCCCTTCGTAGTCACGCAGGTCCGAGGTACGGAGATGACGCAGCAGTGCTGGAGCTCTGAGCGCTCAGATGAGGCGCTTTGGGACAAGAGCTGAATCCCCTGCTGGCCGTGCAACGTCGCGTGTTGATGGTGTAAGCTTTGGGGGAGGAAAACCTCGTGTTGGAGAGGAGAGAAACAGCCACGATGAGCGCAAGAAGGGCGACGCCTCGTGCTGATGGCTGTCCTCCCCCATCCCCGTGCCTTCCACTGCTGCAACCCGCCTGGCAGCGGCTCAGCACTGAGGCGACGCTGTGGCTGTTGGCTGGGGAGGACAGGCGGCGTTTCTGAGGGTGTTGCTGCAGGGAATTGCAGCGCAGGGGTCGTGCAGAGCAGTCAGTGCTCGCAGTGTCGGTTCAGAGGTGCTCAGCCCGGTGTCTGTGGGTGGATGGAGAAGCCTGGAGGCGTTCGGTGTCTCAGTGAGGTGCAAAAAGCGGCTCAGTTAGGATAGGAATTGCTCTGCCAGCTTGAGAATGAAGGCAGGCTCTGGGTTTCTCTGGCTGTAACCTCCAGCCAAGCCACGTCCCCTCGGAGACGCAGAGTGAAAGGGCACTGCAGCCCCTGCCTGTTTCCTGCAGAGAGCAGAGCTGTGGAGCCGGGTGCTGCAGAACCTTTGGGTTCGGTTGCTGACTGGGGGAGGCCTTTCAGCCCCGTGAGCAGCGCAGAATTTTGGGAGGAGGTGGTGAATGTGAGCACAGGGCACAGCTGGGACGAACAGAAAGCGTTCCTGCACCCAGCGCTGCAGCTCCATCTGTCCTGCATCTGCAGGAAGGGTCGCTGAGCTGAGCTGCTGGTTTCTCAGCAGAGATTTGGGTTGCACTGAAGGAAAACCAGGAGCGCAGGAGGTGGTGATGATTCACTTGGAGGGAAGGAGGGCATTGCCACAGGAAGCTCTCGAGCTGGACGAGGCATCAAGCACCAAATCTCCACCTGCCCCCCATGAGCACAGATGCTCTGCAGTCACACCCAGCTGTGGGAGCCCCTCACCCTTCTCTCCCTATTTATCTGGAAGGCAAAGCACAGCACTCAGAAAGGCCTCTGAGAGCCACAGGGGCTCCTCCCTCTCGCCCAGGGCTTGGTAGCACTGCTCTGCCCCCTCCCCTCTGCAGCCCAGGGCCTGACAGCACTGCTGTGCCATGGGTGACGCCTCCCATGCGCTCCTTTGCCCCTCTGTACCTCGGTTGCACCCCTCTGTAAATTGGCCAGACTTTCCTACCTCGTTTGGGCATTATGAGGCTAAATTCCATAGGATGCTTTGCAGCCCCGTGATGAAAGGTGCTATAAAGCTGCAAAGCGTTGACTTCACAAGATTCAAATAGGTCGCCAGTGCATCATAACCTATATGAAAAAGACTTCTTTTTCTTATATGAGAATTTATAGAGTTCAATGTATGGTATTAATAAGTGAATTCCTGAGAACCCCCCCCCAAAAAATAGTTTTTGTTGGAATCGTATCTGTATTCTGCAAAAGTGATTAAAAATCTTTAACCTTAACCCAAGAGTGCAGCCTCGTTTCCTGCGTGCTGTTTCGCTCCTCCAGCAGAGCTCCTCGATCCCTGCCCCACACCGTGGATAACGAGGTTCTCCCTGAGCCCTGCGCCCACCTTTTCCATTTCCTTGGACCGCAGGACCTGCGTGCCCCCAAACCCGGCCCTCCCGTCCCCCCCAGGACACACACGGCCACCAGTTCGGTTGCTCTGCCGTCTCTTTATTGATCTGTGCGATGCGCTTCCGTTGCCGATCACGCAGCGGCGGCCGCGCCGTCTCTCGGCATTTCTGAGCTTCTCCATCCATCCCTTAAGGGATCTTCGATCCGATCAGCGCACCGAGCGGCCCGAACACGGAGGCCAACCCGATTTTGACACCAATGGAGAGCCCGGCGGCTCCTGCAGGGACAGAGAGCGGCCGATGCGAGCGCAGGGCGGAGGCAGCCGAGAAGCTCCGACCCGTTCGGCGCCCGGGCGGAGCGCGCTTCCAAAAGCGCAGGATCCCTTACCCAAACTGATCCCTTCCTCCACCCAGGCTTTGTGCCACCCCCCAACCTTTCGGGTGAACGAAGCCGGCCCGCAGCCCCGCGCTCACCGACCGACTGCAGCACGGCCACGATGCTGCCCGCAGCCACTCCGCCGCCGTTGGCGATGGCCGCAGCCGACATCATCTTAGCGGCTATGGAGCCCGCGGTGATGCCGGCAGTCGTGAAGCCCAGCGAAGAAACGGTTAACGGGACGGCCACGAGCACCGCTCCTGCACCGGGACATCGCCGCGTTAACGCAGCCCTGCCGGCTCTGCGCCCGACGGAGCTGCGGGATCCCGCGGGGTGGCGACGCCCCGATCCCACGAAGCAGCCGATGGCCCCGGCCCCGAGCCGCTGCTGCTCCCCCCATCGCACCGCCAGCCCTCACCTGTTGCAACGCCGCACCCCATGAGGGCACGAATGATCGGTTTCACGGCTGAAGAGGAAGAAAGGAGAGAAAGCGTTGCTCGGCTCTCGCAGCCCTGCAGCCTCAATTCCCCCCCCCCCCCCCCCGGTTTCCCGCAGTACCTGCCGCCTGTAACATCCTCACAGCACCTCTGAGCACCCACGGACCCACGAAACACCAGCGGAGCAGGGAGCCCAGAACTGAGCGCAGCGATCCCCGTGCTGTGATAAGAGGCGGAGGGAGGAAACAAGCGATGATGTAAGGAAAGTGAATTTCCAGGAAATCCGTCTGTTTGCTTTCGGTTTTGCTGAGTTTTCTGGATCGAGCCCAGCGTTTAACCCTTGCCATGCCGGTTCACATTGCTGTGCCGGGGGGGAGGGGGGTGGCGGCAGGGCTGGGCGCCGCCTCGCAGTGCAGCGCACGGCCGGGGGTGGATGGGGCAAAAGGCAGGAGCTGGGGAGGTCAGAGCCTCCCGTCTGCGATCGTTGCTTTATTGAGGTCTGACAGCGGTGAAGCTCTGCACTTCTGGATGAGGAATGGTGGACGTTCCCAGCTCCTCCCCCTCCGCTCAGCAGCTTCAGAAAAACGCCCCAACCCACTCCTTCCCAGCCCTCCCCACGCCCCATTGCCCCCTCCTTACCCTCTGCGTCCCCTCCACGTCCCCAGGCCTCGTGTCA